AAACTCTTCCGTTTAAAATCCAGATCTGACTTTTATTTATTTTTATCTGCGGCAAAGCCACCAAATTTTAAATGTATAGGTTTTCCTCAATATATAGAGTAAAATCTAAATACATGCCACGTACCGTATTCTTGTTTGGGTGCAGTCACACCATGCCCATCTCGTGTGACACACACACCTGTTACCAGGGTACGTGTAACCCCGTTACACACTTCACATTGACATAGATAAACAGCATTTTTAATTCCCTCACGCTCTTTCAATCTTACAAGTTCAATATATCAGAATTGTACAAAAATAACAGCACACTTATATTCAATTGTAGTTTTATCAAAAGTAGCGAAGCCTTGGTACTTGTAAAGATTATGGGACTATCGAGAGGTCCAGCAGCTAGTAGTACTTCGAGAAATACAGGCAGTTTTACCATGAGATATGGATGTGTAGTATTATTTGAGATGTACTATTTTGAATAAGCGCTATTCTTGTAGAGAAGAGCAAATTAGAAATCTTGTCGCACATATACTATAATCAAGTGTAGTTTAGACTAATATTAAAAAATACTACAAAGCAAAATATCATCGTATGTAGTGCATTGTGTGAGGCTCGAATTGCATGTGTGCCACGGACTCCTCCGTTCCGAAAGCCATTTTCCTCGTCCATACTAGCACATTTCATGACAGTATATAATCGTCTCATACCTAAGTACTTCTGAGCTTGACTAAGTTCGAGGGACAACATATCACTACGTACCACGCCACACATGTGTAGTTCATTTAGGGTGAAGAAGCTTAATATGTAAATCAATCTTGATCACTGGCCATACATCAATGCTCATTATCCAGCAAAAGCCTTACCTACATTATGACGAAAGTGTCTATTTTGATGGTGAGGTGACGCTCAAGGCAACAATGATACGGTCTGACACACCAAGCGAGATAAGGCGAATGCGATGTGATGGGCCGGGATGACACTTAAAATTGCACTAAAAAGCGTTTTTAAAGCGGTGTCCTGATTTCGGAAGCCGAAAAATTATCACAGACAAGAAGGTGTCGTCTATAGCACTGATGATCAAGCTCGTTACTAATGAAGATTTTTCTTACCGCAGTTCGGGTTCGACTAAATCCCGTTTCTGCGCAAACTGGCAGAAGCCATGGAATTCGAATTGCGACACTGCCACTGATCTGCAGTCTGTATGAAATTTTCACGTGGTCAAAATGCCACTGCCGACCAGAGAAGTGCGCGGCGTGCCGTCTCTGACAAGTTTCTTAAGGAATCTTCGGCACCTCTTGAGCCCGATCATCAGAATCCGACTGCAGTGCATGTGTCAAGCAATATATTCGCCACCAATTTCTACATATGATCATTCGCTGTCACTATAATCTACCACCAAGTTGGAGCTGGATTTACAGGGTGTGCCTGCGAGATTGACTATCCAGTCATGGTTCTACATTAGATGCATGCGTGCTCGTGTTGCAATTTTTTTCGTCGAATGGTTGGAGCCTCATCAAGCACGGAATGGAGCTTCATCTGGGTTGCAACAACCCAACCATACTGGATGGGAAAGGCTATAGTTATTTCAGTACGATGTTGATTATCGCTTACCAAGACGTATATTTTTTATGCACGCACAAATTTCCATAAAACCAGCAAAATCTTAGTCCTCATAATCATTTGAGTGAGATTTATAATACTTTTACTTCCAGAGGATCGTATATTTGTAAGTTTCATTGTATATTTACGAGAACAATTAATTGTGAGTAAATTCTTAGAAATTGGCTGGTACATAAATTTAGACTTGTCTTCTTGATTTTACATGTACAACTTGCATGCTCGTCTACTACACATTACGTTAAAGATGAGAGTACTTTTTACGGAGTGATCCAATCAGAAAGCTCAAAAGAAAGCTTCAGACGACGTTGTAATTTTGTCACCGAGCAGAGCCAGGTGAGATTAAAATTACTCCCTTATGCGGCCTATTGCCTCTCTTGCCACCGCTACACGCGAGTCCAACCGCGTCCATCATCGCTATCTCTCGAATAACTGCAGTATTAGGGCGGCTAGCTCGGTTGTAAGCTCGCCGCCCCGTCCGCGAAGCGTTACATGGAGCCTACAACAACCAATTACAGGATGCGATTTTTACGTCCATCACCTTTAAACAAGACGTCCTCCACCCGCAGTAAACTCTTTGTCCTGTGCGTCACTCTAGCGGTCAGTGCACTGCTCGTCTTTTTGTTCTTCTATCCTATCTTGAGAGGCTACTCGGGCCGTTCGGTTTACTTACTACAATTTTGTCTCGCCATTGGTTTACTCGAAAAGAGCTGGTGGAATTACCGTATTCGGCAACGGTTCCTCGTACTTTTTGAAGCATCTGTGGCAGTGCTGTTCGTTGAAGCAGAATTTGATAACTTACAACATGATCCAAGCGAGTATGACCTTGATATTCATGGCAGAATCGAGCCCAGCGCGTATGCAGTAACCACGTTCACCAAAAGGTACATAAAAAGCGTGCGCTGCGCGGTAGTGGTACTAACTCTGCTTACATCGTCCACTATCGCTGCTGCTGGTATTACCATTGTTTTGTATTCCGAAGACGTAGTCGTAGTGTGTGCTGCTGTTGGCTGCTTTGCTGGCGTGTTGTGCGCATGCTTCGCACCGACACCCGGTGATGGTGTTGCCATTATGGTGCATGAGGGAGCGCTTACTGTGACGGCTATGAACACTATGATTGTTCAATATACGGGATCGAAGATGCAAATGGCAATTTTAGACTACTTGTTTGTGGCGTTGGCTGGCTGGGTTGTCATCGTTATCTCGCGTATCGTTGTATCAAAGAAGCAACTAGAGTGTTTTCTCATGGTAGCGCTAGATACTGTCGCATTAGCTCACGTGACGATTGTCATGATGGAAATTGTGGAAATTGTCGATCATCCGCGTGCAAACACATTTTCTCGAGAATTTTCAGCCTATTTTGTAACGATCGCTTGTGCTGAGCTGGGCCATTATCTTTTTGACGCTGTGACGACAGAGTGGCTCCCCACCAATTTCCATCGCTGGAGACTCAAGTCTCAACGGCTCTATGAAGCGACTGACTTGGTCGTATCGGTAATTTTTGGCGCTGCTGGTATGTTGATCTGGATGAAAGGGGTATTTAATATGAATCTAAGTCCGTTGGATAGTGCTGCTTTACTCGGTGCTACGGCACTTTCGCAATTAGGCCGTTCTCTCATTACGCTGACGTATGATGCAGCGATGGCACTCCCGTGGTATCGAGCGAAGTTTACTATCTGGAATAACGGCATCATGGAGTTAATGAATCCGTTTCTGGTAGGGTGGATCGTATTTCATCCATACGCAAAGTCGATCCTTGTAGACTGAGTTCGTGCCTTGATTTGATCAAAAGGGGCTATGGCTGCAGGTATTTATTGTGCTAAATTTAAATGTAGACAGTTTGAAGATTTTTAAAGCTAGTTTTCTTTCGACTACTCTCCCCCAGCACTTTCTTCTACCCCTACTGCATCTTTGTTGAAGAAGTTCCAATGTCGTTTGTACACTTAGCACACTGCTCTCGCTCTTTTGCTCGCAGCTTTTCAGCAGCGTTAAATACACCTATGTATCCATAATTTAAAAGTGATTCTGTGCCCTGTTCATCCAAACCTTTTCTTTCTTACCATTGGTTTGCTTTTTACAATTGAAGCATCGCGACGTTTTCTTGAAATTTCTTAACGCACAGGTTTCGCAGAAATAGTGTCCGCAACTGCAAATACACGATGACATGTTTGAGCTTGTTCTGGCCATTCTGAAATCAACACTCAGTAGCATCAAGCCAGCTTACCATGTTTTTACGGCGTTGCGAAAAGGTCCGCGACAGATCGTGCATGCAAACTGCTCCACATTGTTCTTTGTGATTTTCTCGTCCTCACTTTGTTCATCAGGGTCTGACTTGCACCATCAAGTGGTGTTGTATTAAGTAGACCACGCATTTATCCAGCATTCATCGTGCAACACATACCTCTTCCGTCTTGAAGTCGCTTCTGACGCTTCTTTTCTTGCTCCATAAACTCCTTTTCAATCTGCCATCCCCCTTTATAGTCGCTACGATCGTGGAGAAACTTGCAGCTGTCACCATAACCGCAAAACCCTGTTTCCTTATAATCCTTGCATATATCTGGCTGGTAGTCAAAGCGCGAGATTGCACGAGCCCACGTCTGTGCTCGGATTGGGCCTTGAGTGCTGCAATTAAATTTTGATATCAGAATGATTTTAAGTCTGATCAAATCGCATAACACACCCTGTATACTTGTTCATGCCAACCTGGGATTCCATTTTTGTAACGTAAGTCTTGTAAGCTGCTTGGCCGCGGTAGACCTTTCCACTATCTGCATCGGCGCTTCCATCTTGATTTGCTTTGATACTGCGCTCCATGACAGCTCGCGCATCACTGCGTAGGGCGCGAACGTACACCAACTGATGAGTTGATGCTTGATTAAAATTGTGATTGCGTACCGATCCTTCTCAGTTTCGATTTGGTTCTCATAGGTCGCATCTCCAGCGTACTTGAGCGGCACAACTTCGCGTTCAGACTCAATCAATTGCGTCTTGACCACGTTTTTGGTTTTCTTCACCCCACCAGTCTGCAAATTGTTAATTATCAGCGCAGAGATATCAAGTCGACAAGTTCGTGCTCAAATCATACCGAAAACCTATTGACTGTATTGCGTTCAGCAGCAACGTGCACAACGGGACATTCCTTACATTCATTAACGTTCTCGCCTTCATCCTCGGCCACACGTCGACGCTTATTCTTCCTGGTTTTGCCCGTGCGGAACATATTAATCTTACTATATATTTGGTAACATGCTAAAATCGCAAGTAAAATACTCTTTGCACAGGTTTTATAGTAACCTTTACTCAAAAATGAAAAGAAGTCGCATTTAAATTGATACTACTTTATCAGATAATGTAATATCAGAACGAAAGGAGCTATCTCAGAGCTCTCACAGTGCTCCGTTTTGCTTGAGCAGAGGTTCCAGTTTGCCCTCATTGTTCAAATTTCGCACATCCGTGTAACCTCCGATCGACTTGCCACCCACGAACACGTTTGGCACCGTCCTCTGTCCCGTAATTTGCTCCAAAACGTCCTGCTGCTCACTGCCGTCAGTAATCTCGTCAAGCTCCACAACGTCAAATTTAGCTCCTAGACTAGCCAGGAGTTCCTTAGCTTTGCTGCAATACGGACACGTGGTCTTGCTGTACACAACGACAGGGGTGGTGGAGATCTTTGCTTCCACAGTTTCCTTCGCACTCACCATCTTTACGCACTTGTATGTTTGGACGATATTTATACACTAATCATATCCTCCCAACAATTGCATAAGCTGCGTGGCAATTGGCCAAATTTCCAAGGAATATTCTGGAAGAAATTTACGTCATTTAGATTCCGTCAGGCACCCCATTTTCAGGTGTTTGAAGTGTGGGAGCAATGTTGTCAGTGATGTAGCTCTTGATCATAGAGCTGTGATGCTTGTTCAGTCTCCAAGGCAAAACAGTATTTTAATGCGCGCGCAGCTGTCGTAACAGCTACAATCGAGTCAGTTGAGTATTGTACCGCTGGCTTCAGATTGACAGATTGTGATATAATCTGGTGACCGAGTCCTTGTCGGTATTACAACGACTTTGCTAATATGATCGGTGCTTGTTCTTAAGGATAATGAACGGCTCATGGCAACATCTTAAATCGGTCGCAACTTTTTTTCACTGGTTCTTATGGCCTTCTCAGGCGTTCAACTTTATTTTGACATATGGACAATCTAAGCTGCACGTTCTATTTTATCAAACCCTCTACTGGAAGCGACGACGGCAAAAGCTTCTAAGTTTTTTGTCGTTATTTTGGCGATGCGACTGATTGACTTCGCAACCTTTGCCTGTCGAAGATTAAAGACTTGCATTGTCAGATTCGGCGAATCACCAATTACCGCTTGCAATTAGTTGAATCCACTTCAAATCAAATAGACGCCATGAAAAGAAAGTCGCTGCTTCCAGGCTGTCAATTATTTGGGGCGTTGCTGTCAAAGGTTCCTCATCTACCCATGAATCTGAGGTGGTGCGGGACCGCACCACCTCACAACCGGTTGCTTTAGAAAATACTACGCAGCCTCTATCCCGTTGTCTGGCTCTGATGTATATGCATTATTTTTTTTTCAACAAGGTAATCCCTGCGGTGTAGCGGGGATCAAGTCTCAATCGAATCGCGAGCTGGAGTATGAACTACTGTGTCATTTAAAAAGAAAAAGGGAGGGCAAAACCATTACCTAAGTAAATAGTCGACATTACCTTCATATGCTCTCACGATTTGCTAAGCCTGCATTGTTTTGTAGAGAATCCGATTTCGATGATCAAGTGACGATGATGTTCTCTTGAACCGCGATGTCGTTGCTATAATCACATCGTCCACCAATGAGCGGGGCGGTATGCACGTGTCGGTTTATCGTGAGATACGCGTTTGCTCGTGATGGATACAAATCCGGCGTGTGGTCGCTCGTAAATATTAAAATGAAGCGACTCGCTTGGTGGATATCGACGCGATAGACCAATAATTTACCGTTGCCTATGCCCTCGTGTTTGCCTGAAAAGACTGCGAAGAATGTGCATTCGATGTTTCTCGCTGGTAACCAACACCAAATCATACAAAACAACTATCGGCTTCATTTGTGAGGAAGCAGAAAAGGGGCTACGCGCTGAAGAGCTGGAGTATATAATCTTCTAAACTTTTGAGCGCAAGAAATAATACCGAAAACCTGTAGCGCCTTTGAAAATGAGCACAAAGATATCAAAGATATTTGCTTTGATCAAGCAAATGCACAAATTAAGTGCATTTGTCGTATGCTAAAAAGAGCTGTGATGATGACGACCGCCACGCAGGCTAGTGTATGTGAAAAACCTACCATTGGCAAACACCATAGGATCTTTTTATAAGAAATAACCCGAAGATTGATACAACATCAGGATGTTTTTACATTAGTAACATCTAATTCACCTTGCAACCTTAAATTTTCATTTAAGTTTGAAGTTATTGTCGTCGAATAAAAGTAATTTAGCTTGGATCATATCGACAGACACATGGGGCAGCTGATCCACTTGTTCCTGAATTGCACGCCACTGAGCAGCGAGTTCTTTTCGTTGCGCTGCAATTTATTCGTGTTTCTTGACAGATTCGAGATCATGAGGATCCAACAGCTTTGGAAGCCCTGGACTCGGACGCAAGGTTTCATCCAGCGCCACACATGTCATGATAGCGCTCAGCGATACAATCAGAAGAATCAGATTGACGCAGCAGCAACGATCAAGACATCAAAACGCTCGTTTGGATAAACTTGCCAGCTTCGATATCATGGCGATACCCTGGAATTTGGACAGCCATTGAAGAGCTACCTGTATAAATGACCTCTTACTAAGTCGCCATGTGCAATGCGATTCGTAACTCGATCGACCGAAATGGTGGCGATTCCATAACAAGCTAATTATAAGTCCATACTTGCATGCTCGAAATTTTGTGCTCAAAGTGAATGCGTACGTCTATGCTACAGCATCCCCAAAGTTATTAATTTGCTTTAAGCAGCACCGATTAACTTGCCACTGAGACTTTCACCACCCTACAACAAATAGCATCAAGACATTTCGCTTTACAAAATGTATCAAGAAGTATTTACGTATGGCAACGTGGTAGCTTTGTTAGACATAATGATTGGGACAACATGCCTCTCTGGTAACGTTCCAAATGTCCAAAAACTTTCAGTGGTAATGTGCAATCGGGACATGATATTTTGAACGTGGGATTGTCGAATGGTCAGAAGGTTGCCCATCTTTAAAGCGATGCAGCGCACCGGATAAGAATAAGATAAAAATCTCGTCAGATTATGTATTTCTAGTTCAGCAATTTCTAACTCACCACCTGACCGCTACTTCTCGCTAGAAATAAACAGTAGAAGTCTACGATTTCTAATGACTTAGGTAATTCAGATAAGATGGGCATACCTTCTGTATTGTCAGAAATTGGCATTTATCTGCAATACTTGATGAATCGTTGATATTTGAACACGATTATTATATTGAAGAGTGTCGTTTGAGAACAGCACCTTGAGTCATTGCCATTGCACTTATGAGGGCAGCGATGCCCAATAATGTCAAGGTAAGTGGAACACTTCAGCATTTACAGCAGCTATGATGCGGCTCACGGACGAGCTGGCGGGATCATAATATGTGCCTTTACAATCTCATTCACCACCTGCAACCCACAACACCCGACCGTCACGATCGAAAGGCGAAACAATCGCATTTGATGGATCAGCCAAGCTATTTTCAATCCTTTTTGTAGAACAACACAACTTCTTGAGCACTTAATTGATGTACTATATATCAGAGACAGCGATGATGTACTATATGAGGGTGTCTCATACTACCATGTAGTACGAGACAGCGATGATGTACATGTACCATGTAGTATCTGAGGGTGTCTAGGGGTACTCTCGATGCCTTTTTGGGTTTTTTAAATTATCATTTTTTGAAAAATATTTGTGGGTAGGAAGAGCGGACGATCAAACATAAACGATCCGCTCCGTCCGCTAAACCTCAGCTGAGGTTATTTCATGAGAGTTCATTCTCGAAGTTGCCGTTCGATGGCGCGGAAATGGTTCCAGCTCGTGGGCGAAGATGGGAACGCTGTGACGTCGACGACTTCTGTTGTCGTGGATCATGATGATGATCATCATGTACATCATCATGTAAAATATCGTACATTGTACGATATTGTACGATAATATTGTACGATATTCTGAAATTTTTAATTCAGAATTTTCAGCTAACTAAAAAAATACCTGTTAAAATTTGTATTACTAGCATTAGTATACTATATACTATATATAGATAATAAATTAACTATATACTATATATAGTATATAGTATACTAATGTTGGTACCATGTTAGTTAATTTATCATCTAATTCTTTAGAGATTTGTACAACATGGTACCATGAGAAGAGAAGAGAAGAGAAGAGAAGAGAAGAGAAGAGAAGAGAAGAGAAGAGAAGAGAAGAGAAGACAACATGGTACAACATATGGTACCATGTTGTACCATGTTGGTATGTTGTACCATGTCGTCATATATATAGTATATATGTCGTACTATATACTACTATATATTAGTGTGGTGTAGTGTGAAGAGAAGAGAAGAGAAGAGAAGAGAAGAGAAGACAACATGGTACAACATATGGTAC